TTATTTCATTTATTTATTTATTTACTTTAATTGTTTCGATTTAGTGTATTTATTTTAAGGAAAATTTGCCAAATTGGTCCCTAACATTTACCAAAAACACTTTTTTAGTCCTTTACATATAAAATCAGCCAGAATGGTCCTTCACATTTAAATTGTGAGCCAATGTGGTCCTATTGCTCGTTTTTGCTTATTTCTCCGGCTAAAAATAGCACGCCCCTCTCACATGGTCATATTTTTAGGGGCAAAACCGGAAACACATTTCATTACCCGTTGAAAGTAAAAGGAATGGACAACCACCAATATACACATTTCACCTTTGGCTCTCAAAGTTTCAAGAAACCCTAAATTGCATCCCCTGCCTTCGCCTTTTATTGAACTCCCCACTCCCCCCGAACTCCACACCCCCTTGCTGGCTAGCTCCATGAAAATGGTTATGATCAACTCATAGCTAGGTCTTATACAGGTAACTACCTCAAAAGGGCCCATACAACCTCAAACGCTGTCGTTTTCGGTCTTCACATCCCCTCCAGGCTCCATCCACCTAATTCTTGATGTACTAATCCCATTTTTTGCACTAGAAATGGAAACAGAGGTCCAGTCCAATAGTTTTACCTATATGGGGCGAAGCTTCAGCGGCCTCAGCATCCACGATGGTTCTTCCTCAGCTTTCAGCGACTGCAACAGCGACAGATCTGGCGAATTCCCCACCGCTTCTTCCCAGAGCCAACGTCTACTTATCGCTTGCGCCTCCTCCGAAAACAACAACAACAGCTCCTCTGACGAACTGATCCGCCAGCTCGTCTCCGATCTTAATTCTCCATCCCCTGAAGACCAAAAACAAGCCACCTTGGAGCTCAGACTCCTCGCCAAAAACAAACCCGAGAATCGAATTAAGATTGCCGAGGCTGGCGCCATCAGACCATCATCAGCAGTACATTTCCAAGTAATGCTTGTTAATTCGGGGATGCAATTTAGGGTTTCTTGAAACTTTGAGAGCCAAAGGTGAAATGTGTAGTTTGGTGGTTGTCCATTCCTTTTACTTTCAACAGGTAATGAAATGTGTTTCCGGTTTTGCCCCTAAAAATATGACCATGTGAGAGGGGCGTGCTATTTTTAGCCGGAGAAATAAGCAAAAACTAGCAATAGGACCACATTGGCTCACAATTTAAATGTGAAGGATCATTCTGGCTGATTTTATATGTAAAGGACTAAAAAAGTGTTTTTGGTAAATGTTAGGGACCAATTTGGCAAATTTCCCTTATTTTAATTTAATGTTTGATTATTTAAGAGGCATTTAATGTCAAATTGTAATAGTTAGGGGGTTCAAGATATGTATTTAGATAGAATATGTAATAGTTAGGGATTTATTTATTTATTTTATTCCTTTCCCCCTTAGATTGTAGTTAGACCCCAAATGTAATAGTTAGGTTTCTATTTGCTTTATTTGCTTTGTGTGTTTTGCATGCTTGTGTGTGTTACGTGTTACTCGCTTTCCTAGGGATTTGCATTTAGATATCATGATTATGTGCTATGCGTCTTATGTGAATTTATGTGTTTACTTGCTTTTATTACGTTTTATATGATTGGTTTAGTTATAATCAATGTGCGACGTCACCACACTAGTCCAACGCTAGTTGTGACCTCTTTGCCGACTCCACACTAGTTCAACGCTAGTTGTGGCCCTATTTCCAGTTTTCTTGCTAGTCCAACGTTAGTGAAAACTTATAAACATGGGATAGTCCAACGCTAGACCGCTTCGGAAACATCCGTGCGTTAGATCATGTTTGTATGGCAAATCATGACATTTTATGCATATTTTCTACTTTTTAGGGTCTTTACCATTTTGCATGACATTTCTCTTATATGTATATCTCTTATCCCATATTTTCCTTATATATATCCCTTATCTCCATGTGCGACACATGACATTAGATTTGTATTCCATTTAAGAATTAGAACTAGGCTAGTATATTTGCATGATTAGATAGGAGAAAAATCCCTCGAATATGGGATATGGACGAGTACGACTCTCTAGTTTTAACACGCTCGTATTCCCTCTATTAAAGGGAAAATGTAGCCACGAATCTTAGTTTCCCGCACTCGTTATGATGTATTCCCTTAGGTCATGTATATTTATATATTTGTATAATTTTCTATTCTTTTTTTCGAGTCTCATACTTTTGCATATTCGTGAACTCTTCAAAGAGTCATTTTTGGGCGTTGCAATTAATACGATTTGCACCAATTAAGTTTTAAAGAGATATTTCGACCCCCCGATATCCTCCTAGGTTTAGGTTTTATGTGACAGCCCCACCTTCCCCTGAGGCATACCAAAGGGGTTCGCGGACTGCCTGCCCAACTTTTGCCAGGACTACTAAGACCGTTATATACAATTTAAAACGTTCTGAAAGATATTAGCGCGTCAAACGATTCAAAAATCGCGAAATGGAAAATGAAAATCGGAGCCGCACATGAATAGTGCCGGCCACGTCACAATCCGGCCGGATTGGAGGCAGTGAGCAACAGCCCGGATTCAAAAATTCCAAGACAATCCGGCCAAGTTCTGGCCGAATTTGCGGCCGGATTCCCCTGTGTCCTTTCCCGCCAAAATTTTTCTTTAATCGTTCGAAGTCAGAACCTGTCCGAAACCCAATCAATCACTAACAAATCATATAAACCTTGAAATTAGACATTTACAAACCAAAATAACACTTGATCGTTACCAAACACGTTTATACATGTATGATTTCAAATTACAACTCAAAAGGAAAGGTTGAGTCAAAATACATTTAAGGTTTTCCCACCATTGAGGAGCTATACAAAAGAATATTAAACTAGCTCAACTCGGCTTCAAAATCACAGTCTCCCAAAAGTTAATCAAATCCCTGTAAGGAAACCAAAGGCAATAGAGTGAGCTTTCGTCCAATGAGGTACTATCACCCAAGTAACGAAGTTCATATAAGCACAAAACTACTCAATCCAAATACTTTCAATAAGTGAGTCAACTAACACCACAGTTCAATAAAGATTTTAAAAGGATACGGACGGCTCTCAAAAGCCCTCTTCCTCGCTTGCCGTACTTGATCTCGCCTCGTTGACCCTCCGTTAACGCTTAAGAAGTAACCAATACCGTAGACTCCACTTTCTCCAATTTCCGTCCACCTCACATACCCCTATCGGGTCCGAACTCCAATCAGTTCAAAAGAGTAATACTCGAGTATACCGGAATCAAGAGTCTCATACCCAATGATTCCATAGAAACAGTCCCTATGGCTTGTCAATCTCCTCGATCATGCCCTTACTGGCTCAAGTCAATCGACCGCCGATGGGGTTGATCTCGGAGTCAACAGTAAAAGTCGTTGGATACACGTCCAAACGACACCAGTTCAAGAATATTCAAGAGACATTCAATTGATACAGTAAACAGTCACATAAGCCATAGAGTACGAGAGTGATAAAGTACACCCTCATCTCAATCAATCTCAGCAGTATACACAAGCGTTCAAATCATAGATTTCAAATATAACAAAACCATGAGGTAACAATCATGTGAGTAGTACACTCACCAATCAAACAAAGAGAGATTTCACAAATTTCCACCCAACGAGCGCCTTAAATCACCGGCATGCCCTAAAACATTCAAGAAAACACAATGACACTCGAATACGAGTCATAAACCCAAACCACACATCACTAATGTAAAGCCAAAAGAATTTGAAAGTAATATAAGGAACACTTGGTGCTAAAGGTTTAGATAACCCCAAAGTCACTAATTAACACTCTAAGCAACCCAATTCCAAGAAATCATATGGATCTAAAATTTGGACAGCATTTCCTCTTAAAATTTCAGATTTTCACCCTACAAACAATCACTTATATCTTCCCAACACAACCACAATTACAATTGCAAGTCATAGGCCATTCAATACACCTTATTAGGGTTACAATACCCTCTAAACCAACCCATTCAAGAGTTCCACCATAACCCTAGAAAAGCCCCAATTCAAAACCCTAAATCTGAAAATTTTCGTACAAAGCGAAAATTTTCCGCAAATAACTACAATTAACACACCAAACCACCACTTTAGACCATACCAAGCCATCATCCATAGCCAACCAACACTAATCCTATAAAATCAGAAAAATCATGAATAAAACAGAAATTCATCAATATCTACCAAAAGTCATGAAATCTTTCACAAAATCACTTCTTTAATTATCACAAGTCACTAATTTAACACTATCAAGAACAAAGGGAGCATTTCTTGGCCACCCATCTTGTAAACTCAAGAAAAGAAGCAATTTAGCACATCTTCTTTCCAAACCACTCCACCAACTATCTTAATCCTACCTAAATAAGGGTTTTTATAGAGAAATTTAAAGTTTTAACAGTTAGGTTGTAAGATTGAGCAAGATTGGGAAGAAGAAAGTTGAAGATTTTCCTTTCTTTTGCTCCTTAAGAGAGTTGGCCAAGAGAGATGTGTATGAAGGTGAATTTTGGGTCAATGTTTGGTTATTTAGTAAAGTTGGTCAAATGGTCAAAGTCCAAGAGGTAATCACCAAGTGACACTTGTCACCTTTTTGGTTTAAAGCTATCCTTTTATCTCTCCAACATCAATTCATTTAAATAACCTCTAATTATCACCTAACACCTAGTAATTTAATCCCGGTATACAAAACTTAACCTAATTGGTCGAATTTTATCACACTTACCGCACTAGCGGGTCCCACGTCCAATATACACTCCTAAAATCTCAAGAACTAACTTATACTAGAAAAATGATTTTAAAACTATATTTACTCATAAAAATTATCTAGAAAATTCTTCTAATAAAGAAAATATAGAAAATGTGTGCAATTAAATAACATAAAGGCTAGAAAATAAGAAAGTTTTCGGGTTCTCACACTCTCTCCCTCTTAAAAGAATTTCGTTCTCGAAATTTCTCACCTTGATTCATAAACAGTTCAGGGTATTTCTTTTGCATTTCTTCTTCCACCTCCTAGGTAGCCTCTTCTATCCCATGATTTTTCCACAAGATTTTCACCAAACGAATTTGTTTGTTTCTCAACTCTTTAACCTTTTGGTCAAGCAACTGTACAGGTTTCTTTTCGTAGGTGAGTGATTCATCTATCTCAATTTCCTCCTGTTGTAAGATGTGGGACGGGTTGGGATAGTACTTCTTAAGCATCGAGACGTAGAAGACGTCATGAATCCTGGACAGACTTGATGGTAGTTCAAGTTGATACGCTACTTTCCCAATTCTCTGGAGAATTTTGAAAGGTCCGACGAACTTTGGTTGAAGTTTCTTTCCTCTACCCGCCGTGACGCTTCGTAACAGTGTGATCTTAAGAAAAACACGGTCCCCAATTTTGAAATCTAGATCTTTTCTTCGATTGTCCGCGTAGCTCTTTTGTCGGCTTTGAGTTGTTTGGAGTCTTTGTCGTATCAACTTGATTTTTTCTCGTGCCTCTTCCATCCATGGAATAGTTGTTGGATCTAACACCTTCCTTTCGCCAACTTCATCCCAATAGATCGGTGACCGGCACTTTCTCTCGTAAAGCGCTTTGTATGGGACCATTTGAATGGACGAGTGGTAACTGTTATTGTAAACAAACTCTACTAAAGTCATATGTTGACCCCAATTACCCCCAAAATTCAGAATACAAGTCCTTAACATATTCTCGAGAGTTTGAATTGTTCGCTGTGACTGTCCAACCGTCTGGGGATGATAAGTGGTACTTAGGTTGAGTTTAGTCCCCAAAGTCTCTTGAAATTTCTGCCAAAATCTGGATACGAAACGGGAATCTCTATTCGAAACGATGCTCATAGGAACTCCATGTAGTCTCACAATCTCATCCATATACACTTGAGTCAACTTATCCATGGAATACTTCATGTTTACCAGCAAGAAATGGGCTGATTTGGTTAACCGATCAACGATCACCCAAACGGCATCATGTTCTCGTTACGTTTGCAGCAAACCTGAAACGAAGTCCATTGTGATGTTTTCCCACTTCCATTCGGGTATTTCAAGAAGTTGTAACAATCTAGATGGTTTTTGATGTTCCGCCTTAACTTGTTGGCAGATAAGACATTTTTGCACGTACTGAGTAATTTCCTTTTTCATGTTGTCCCACCAATAGGTTCTTTTTAGGTCCTGATACATCTTGCTACTACCCGGATAGATCGTATATTTGGACCAATAAGTTTTCTCTAAGATCTCCTTCTTTAACATTTGCACCACCACTCGGTTTCGATATTTCAAAACTCTCTCGAGACTAAAGTTGAAATCGGCCAATTCTCCTTTTTCACTTTCTCTCCCCATTTCCGTACCATAGAATTTTCCTTCTGGACTTCTTTAATTTGTTCCAGTAAAGTAGATGTTACTTTAACATTACCAAAAATCACCTTTTGACTTCCCAGACAGGGATTCCACTCACAAACCGATTCTAACAGATCTCACTCCTTAATCATTAACCTTGCTACCTGAGCCTTTCGACTTAAGGCATCGGCTATCACATTAGCTTTTCCCGGATGATAGTTAATGGTGCAGTCGTAGTCCTCCAGAAATTCCATCCACCGTCGCTGTCTCATATTCAATTCCTTCTGTGAGAAGAGGTATCTAAGACTTTTATGGTTTGAGTAAATCTCGAAAGTTACCCTGTATAGATAGTGTCTCCACGTTTTCAAAGCGAAAACAACTGCGGCTAATTCCAGATCGTGGGTTGCGTAGTTCTGCTTGTGGGATTTCAATTTTCTAGAGGCAAAAGATATCATATTCTGGTTTTGCATCAGCATACACCCCAAACCTTTCCGCGATGCGTCGGTATAAATGGTAAAATCGTCTACTCCGTTAGGCAAAGTTAGAAATGATGCCATGGTTAATTTTTTCTTTAACTTTCGAAAACTTGCTTGACATCTAGCATCCCACAATAAACGATAATTTTTCTTCGTCAGGTCGGTTAATGGCCCTGCCAGTTTGAAAAAGTCTTTAATGAAACACCTATAGTACCCAACCAACCTTAAAAAACTACGAATTTTCGTGGGGTTCTCTGGTCTCTTCCAATTGGTCACAGCATCTACTTTCGCCGGGTTCACCGAGATACCCTCGTGAGAAATTACGTGTCCTAAGAAAGAAATTTTCTCCAACCAAAACTCGCACTTACTAAACTTGGCGTACAATTGATGCTCTTTTAGGGTTTGTAAAACGATTCTTAAGTGCTGCTTATCCTCCTCACGAGTCTTTGAGTATACTAGAATGTCATCAATAAAGACAACTACAAATCAATCCAAATATGGTTTAAAAACCCCATGCATTAAGTCCACGAAGGCGGCAGGGGCATTGGTCAATCCAAAGGGCATAACTGCGAATTCGTAATGCCTATATCTCGAATTGAAAGCAGTTTTTGGAATATCCTCCTTCCTAATCAACAATTGGTAATACCCCTGTCGAAAATCTAATTTTGAAAAGACCACTACTCCTTGCAACTGGTCGAAAAACTCATCAATATGGGGTAGTGGATACTTATTTTTAATCGTTACATTATTTAGCCCCCGGTAGTCTATACACATCCGCAAGCTCCCGTCCTTTTTCTTTACAAATAACACAGGGCCTCCCCAAGAAGACCCACTCTCCCGAATGAACCCCCGCTCCAAAAGGTCTTGTAACTGCAATTTCAATTCTTTGAGCTCAGCAGGTGCCATCCGATACGGGGTTTTAGAGATAGGCGACGTCCTTGGTAACAGATCAATTTTGAATTCTATCTCTCTCTCCGGAGGTAGGGCTACTATCTCATTAGGAAATACGTCTGGATATTTCTTCACTATGTGCACATTCTCTACCTTCAATTTATCGATAGGGGTATTGATTAGAAAGGCTAAGAACCCTTGCGCCCCTCTACTTAGCAATTTTCTAGCACGAATACCCGAGATCAAGGCAGATGAAACTAACTTTCTTCTTACGTCCCCAGGAATGCGGAATTCTACCACCTTCTTCTTACAATCAAATTGAACATTATACCTGGCCAACTAGTCCATGGCCAAGATTACATTATACTCCTTAACAGATAGGCTTATCAAATCTCCTAACAATTTCCTTCTCCTACCCAAACTTTGCAATCCTTATAAACCATACCAGTGATCAAACGCTGACCCCCCGCAGGAGTACTAACTTCCAGGTCATAGGGTAAACTAGCAGGTTTTATATCTATTCTACACATAAAATTGGGGTTGACAAATGAATGGGTAGCATTGGGATCTACTAAAACTTTCACAAATCGGTGGAATACAGGAATTGTACCTTCTACAATTTCGAAAGAATCGGGGACCTGTTATGGCTCCAGTGAATACACTCGAGCCATTACCTTAGGTTTGGTCCCTTCCACCTTAGCCGGTTCGGAATTGGTCCTCGTTGGTTGTTGGCTCCCCCTTCCATCTCGTGATAGAATTGGACAAGTGGCGAGCTGGTGGTCTGCACTTCCGCAGTGCAAACATTTTCCCTCCTTTTTCCAGCAATTGTCCTCCGTGTAGTTTGGCTTCCCGCAATATCCGCAGGATCCGCGAGATGTAGAAGCCGAGCCTTTTCGGAAACCTTCTCTTTGGCCTCTCCTAACTTGGCCACCTCGTGTCGAGCCCCCTCGTGACATTCCCAGCATCCTTCCTCCTCCAATTCCCCATCCAAACTTGGGAGGGGTACTCTTATCCCCCTGCCCCTAACTGCTTCCAGGAAATTCTCGCTTTTTCGCTTGGAAGTTTTTCACCTGTAACCTAGCATTCTCTACTCGTTGCTCCTTCTCCTCTGCATCGCTGAAGGCGTTAATTTGGGCTACGGCTAGATCTTTCTGGATCTCCACGTTCAGACCCTGGACAAAGCGTCTTATTCTTCGTTGTTCGGTCATGATAAGCTCGGGCGCAAATTTGGACAGTCGCGTGAATTGGCTCTTGTACTCTGCAACGATCTAGGTCCCCTGGCGAAATCGGATAAACTCATCTTCCTTCCATTCTTGAACCAGAGGAGGGAAGAATTTAACATTGAACTTCCTCATGAAGTTCACCCATGTCCTGGACATTTGCTATCGGTCCCACTTCTGTCGTATTACGTTCCACCAGGAACGGGCCGCCCCTTCCAATTGGAAGACAGCAAAGGTCACCTGCCTCTCTTCCGTATAATGTAGGGCAGGAAAGATGTCTACCATCTTTTCTAGCCATCTTTCGACCACATCCGGATCGGGCCCCCCAATAAACTTCGGTGGGGCAAACTTCTGAAACCTCTCGAGGGCCCTGTCCTCACTTTCCACGTGATTATCAGGGTTTTCAGGGTTGGGATTAAGGTTTTGACCCTGTTGCTCCATAACATGAGCCAACAAGTCAGTTATTCGTTGAATGGCTGCGGCCACTTGAACGTTCGGATCGATCCTAGGTTCAGGGTTTGGTTCAAATGTGGTTCCCCTAGTACCCCCTTCAGTTGTGGGTTGCCTAACTCCGCGATCATGACCACGTCCACTACGGGTGCCTTCCATGAAATTAAGTCGATCTAGAGTAAAATGTAAATATAACATTAAAATAACGATAAACGTAAGTAAGGAGTCAAAAGATATTCACAATCAAAACATAAATACATATCACACAACAATGTCAAACAAGTCACACATTAACAGTCAGTCAAATACAAACAAAGAAATTCCATGAGATAACAGCGTCATCAAAAGTTATATATACAAAGCTAGTCCAAACGTACAAAAGCGGCTAGCTAAGGGTTCTATCCCTGATCTACTATCCCCATGGAATCAAAAGTAGTTCAAAAGGGTTCTAGTCTATGGAGGCCACAGACTCTCCCCCTTGGCTAGAACTAGGGGTACTCCCTTCTCCAGGTGTGTCATCACTCGGAGCCTCCACTTGCGCGTTGGTGCCAATCACACCTTGGATTAGCGCCTCGCACTCATTAACAATGCCTCCGGAACGGTCTCTAACTTTTCGGACGACATTAGTAAGACGATGGTTGACCCCTTGCAACTGCTCCCTAAGAGCATTAGTTCATTCTTGCTCCATAGATATGTCCTCTCGAAACTCCCTTATCCGGTCTGCTTGCATCCTCGTGATGCCTCTCAGCCTAAATATCTCCGTGTGATCCCTGGCGGCAGCTCGTCTAAGCCTTCTCCGTTCACCTAGCACCCCCACGACCACATGGTCGACGTAAGAGTGGTTCCAGCAACGGTTACAACGACGAGCCCGACTAGCGGTATACCAAAGCCGGATCAGACCTCCCGACCTTTCTTGATAATCGATAACGCGAGGGCGTCGCTGAGGCGGTTCACCCCCACCCTCTCCACTTGCTCTAGCCATGGCCTACAAATATAGCAAAAGGGTTCATATCATAGACAACGTAAGCATAATCACACTTAGCGGTACCTTAACACTTCCCTCACAGGTCCTAAGGAACAAAATTCAAACTTGCTTAGGTCATTTCTAATCTAGACTCTGATACCACCTGTGACAGCCCCACCTTTCCCTGAGGCGTACCAAAGGGGTTAGCGGACTGCCTGCGCAACTCTCGCCAGGACTACTAAGACCGTTATATACAATCTAAAACGTTCCGGAAGATGTTAGCGCGCTCAAACTATTCAAAAATTGTGAAACGGAAAACGAAAATCGAAACCGCACATGAATAGTGTCGGTCACGTCATAATCCGGCCGGAATCTGGCCGGATTTTCGGCTGATTTTTGGCCGGATTGGAGGCAGTGAGCAATTGCCCGGATTCAAAATTTCCAAGACAATCCGGCCAAGTTCTGGCCGGATTTGCAGCTGGATTCCCCTGTGTCCTTTCCCTCCAAAATTTTTCTTTTGTTGGTCAAAGTCCGAACCTGTCCGAAATCCAATCAATCACCAACAAATCATATAAACCTTGAAATTAGTCATTTACAAACCAAAATAACACATGATCGTTACCAAACACGTTTATAAACGTATGGTTTCAAATTACAACTCAAAAGGAAAGGTTGAGTCAAAATACATTTAAGGTTTTCCCACCATCGAGGAGCTATACAAAATAATATTAAACTAGCTCAACTCGACTTCAAATCACAGTCTTCCAAAAGTTAATCATATCCCTGTAAGGAAAACAAAGGCAATAAAGTGAGCTTTCGCCCAATGAGGTACCATCACCCAAGTAATGAAATTCATATAAACACAAAGCTACAAAAATCCAAATACATTCAATAAGTGAGTCAACTAACGCTACAGTTCAATAAAGATTTTAAAAGGATACGGACAGCTCTCAAGAGCCCTTTTCCTTGCTTGCCATACTTGATCTCGCCCCGTTGACCCTCCGTCAACGCTTAAGGAGTAACCAATATCGTAGACTCCACTTTCTCCAATTTCCGTCCATCTCACATACCCCTACCGGACCTGAACTCCAACCAGTTCAAAAAGGTAATACTTGAGTATATCGGAATCAAGAGTCTCATACCCAATGATTCCATAGAAACAGTCCCCATGGTTTGTCAATCTCCTCGATCATGCCCTTGCAGACTCGAGTCAATCGACCGCCGATGGGGTTGAGCTCAAAGTCAACAGTAAAAGTTGTTGGATACACGTCCAAACGACACCAGTTCAAGAATATTCAAGAGACATTCAATTGATACAGTAAACAGTCACATAAGCCATAGAGTGCGAGAGTGATAAAGTACACCCTCATCTCAATCAATCTCTACAGTATACACAAGCATTCAAATCATAGATTTCAAGTATAACAAAGTCATGAGGTAACAATCATGTGAGTAGTACCCTCACCAATCAAACAATGAGAGATTTCACAAATTTCCACCCAACGAGCGCCTTGAATTACCGGCACGCCCTAAAACATTCAAGAAAACACAATGACACTCAAATACGAGTCATAAACCCAAACCACACATCACTAATGTAAAGCCAAAAGAACTTGAAAGTAATATAAGGAACACTTGGTGCTAAAGGTTTAGATAATCCCAAAGTCACTAATTAACACTCTAAGCAACCCAATTCCAAGAAATCATATGGACCAAAAATTTGGACAGCATTTCCTCTTAAAATTTCAGATTTTCACCCTACAAACAATCACTTATATCTTCCCAACACAACCACAATTACAATTGCAAGTCATAGGCCATTCAATACACCTTATTAGGGTTACAATACTCTCTAAACCAACCAATTTAAGAGTTCCACCATAACCCTAGAAAAGCCCCAATTCAAAATCCTAAATCTGAAATTTTCCGTACAAAGCAGAAATTTTCTGCAAATAACTACAATTAACACACCAAAGCACCACTTTAGACCATACCAAGCCATCATCCATAGCCAACCAACACTAATCCTACAAAATCAGAAAAATCATGAATAAAACAGAAATTCATCAATCTCTCAAAAGTCATGAAATCTTCCACAAAATCACTTCTTTAACTATCACAAGTCACTAATTTAACACTATCAAGAACAAAGGGAGCATTTCTTGGCCACTCACCTTGTAAACTCAAGAAAAGAAGCAACTTAGCACCTCCTCTTTCCAAACCACTCCATCAACTACCTTAATCCTACTTAGCTAAGGGTTTTTATGGAGAAATTTGAAGTTTTAACGGTTAGGTTGTAAGATTGAGCAAGATTGGGAAGAAGAAAGTTGAAGATTTTCCTTTCTTTTGCTCCCTAAGAGAGTCGACCAAGAGAGATGTGTATGAAGGTGAATTTTGGGTCAATTTTTGGTTATTTAGTAAAGTTGGTCTAATGGTCAAAGTCCAAGAGGTAATCACCAAGTGACACTTGTCACCTTTTTGGTTTAAAGCTATCCTTTTGTCTCTCCAACATCAATCCATTTAAGTAACCTCTAATTATCACCTAACACCTTGTAATTTAATCCCAGTATACAAAACTTAACTTAATTGACCGAATTTTATCGTACTTACCGCACTAGCGGGTCCCACGTCCAATATACACTCCTAAAATCTCAAGAACTAACTTATACTAGAAAATAATTTTAAAACTATATTTATTCTTAAAAATTATATAGAAAATTCTCCTAATAAAGAAAATATAGAAAAGGTGTGCAATTAAATAAAATAAATCCTAAAAAATAAGAAAATTTTCAGGTTCTCACACTCTTTTCCCCTTAAAAGAATTTCGTTCTCGAAATTTCTCACCTTGATTCATAAACAGTTCAGGGTATTTCTTTTATATTTTTTCTTCCACCTCTCAAGTTACCTCTTCTATCCCATGATTTTTCGACATGATCTTCACCAAAGGAATTTGTTTGTTTCTCAACTCTTTAACCTTTCGGTCAAGCAACTATACAGGTTTCTCTTCGTAGGTGAGTGATTCATCTATCTCAATTTTTCTTTTCTTTTTCTCTTTTTAGGGTTTTTTGCATTTACCACTGTGACGCCCCCACTTCTCCCTAAGGCGAACCAAAGGGGATCCGCGAGATGTCTGCCCAACTCTCGCCAGGACTCAAGACAATTCGATTCAAGTTTAACGATACATAACAATTAATACAAGCCTAATAAAGAAAAGTCGCTTCCATAATTGAATATCCAAGTCTTACACCACAAGTTCAAGATACATCAATTATCCAATTCTTACATTAGATTCCCAAAAGATACATTAATTTTTAAAATATGCAATAGCCACAATGTCTAGTCAATTACATTTGAAACCCTAATATAAAAGTACATCCAAAGGGGTTTCTCCGAATTTCACTCCATGTCCATTCTTGCTAAGGAAAACAAATCTACGGGGTGAGCCATCGCTCGTGAGGCCAAGAACACACATGCAAGCACGTTGTTCAAGTAACAACCCCAATTAACGAGTAAAACAATAATATTCAAGTAAATGGTAATTCGATCAAGAAAAGTAAATAGAAACAATTCAAGG